GTTAGGACTCAACAGCATTTTATCACCATAAGTTTAATTGGCAATAAGCATTCACATTTTAATCAATCATTTCTGTATTCCATTACTTTTCTTAAATAATTAATTATTAAAAAAAGGAACAAGTACCACTCAAGAGCCTACAATTAACCACTTAACAATATAATTAACTTATCTTATTCATTTATCTTTATTTTGGTCCATTGAATATGTTTAAAAACTTTATTTCCATCACACCTTCCAAACTGAAACATCCAGACAAGACAATCTCCTGTCATGATGAGTTTTTATAAAATCTATAGCCTCCTAGAAGGTCTAAATTGTTTAGCATTTTTGTAAAATGCAAGAAAAACGAATAACATAATGAATGAAGCTTTTTAATTCTTAGCCTATTACCAAATATTCATACACAGTGTAGTTTGAATAGGTTCCCATTGATCTGGTTCCTGTATCAGTGCCAGTAATCCAGTAATGGCTTATTAGTTCCCCATTTTTTAATTTACTTGAACTGCAGACAATAATTAATGAACAAAGTTGTGAAATTCTTAGTTTAAAGTATATTTAAGATGCAAGTATTTTAGTAGGGCCCACTCTGCTTTACTTATATTCTCTAAAAATCACCAGAATGTAGAAAATAATGTATATTGGGAGAAAAATTTCCCACATAAGTACAGATCACTTATCGTTACTTTAAAATTTACTCTGGTATACATTTTGCCACTTAGTTTCAGTTAAATCCTCTGAAAACTTCCAACCTACAGCTGCACCCATCCTCATCTAACCCTGATAAGAGTTTCCTGTCCAAACTATTTCAAAATCTCACCCCAAGGTTTGGTGAAAAGCTGGCAGCCCTGAATGTATTGGAGAACACAAGAGTTTAAATAAAGAAAATGTTGTTCAATAGGAAAACGGCGCCCATCTTGTTTTTTTTTTTTCTGCAGGCAGGTGATTCCGAAAGGTGCGCACACAGGTGTGGTCGCACCTTCACCAACACTAGGAAACTAGTATTTTTGCAATTTCCAACACTCACCCGCACAAAGCACGGCCAAGGTAAAAATCCTCATCTCCATGACAAAGATGATCACCGATCAAACTAAACTCGCGGCTCTTCTTATTTTTTTTTATATTAAAAAAATAAAGATAAGAGGAAGCTGAGCGATGTTACATCTACATCGAAACCTGAAATCTACCCACAGCCCGCTGGGTGCGCCTGTCGCCCCTGTTTGATTGACGGCTCTCCGGACCAATCACTGCACGTTTCACTCCAATGGTGCTCCTTTCGTCCCGCCCCCCATGCAGGTTTTAATTTGTCCTGACATGCAGCAGCATAGTTTTTCAGGAATATCCGTTAAACCAGGATCCCACGAACCTGTTTGTGGAAAGAGAAACACTTGATTCCCTCCCACATTTCTCATCTTCTATATTAATAAAGATGTTTCTCTTCTAATGATTTTAACTGTGAACATTTTGAGCAGGGGCTTGGTTTTCTCTTCTTATTCATCATTTTTTTTTAAAATTATTTAAAAATAAATCCCCTTCATATTGCAGAGACAGAGAAAGGTCAGCAGCCTTTGAAGACTGGTTAACAGACTTTACTGCAATATTGAGACTGAGACGACAACAAAGTGTTTTTTCTTGTCAGACTGGTTTGACTGGACCATTTTACATAGACATAAATGACTCAGAAGTGCCAACAGAAAGGTACACCGCAAAACAGGAAGGAAGGATTCTAAAGAATCTGGTTTCTGCGAATACAATCTGCCTTTCAGAAGATCACATCATGGGCACAGGCTGAAACGTGTTTCTATAGATGTAATTTCTTCAGTATGACTTTATTTCACTATCATCACTGTTTAGTAGTCATTTTCAGGTTCCTTTAGACCGGAAGTCTATGCTCACTGATAGGGCCACACCTCTAAAAACCAGAAAACATATATCTACACCTCCACACCTTTATATAACGATTTAAAAGATCTTTACGACTAAAACATAGCTTCCAGCTAAATTGACAACGCTGCAGCTATTAAGGCTGTAAAAGGTAGAACACCACTACCTGGTGGATAGCAATAGAAATGCAGCTCTAAAGTTAGATTTAAATGAATTACTATCTATTTTTTTCCCTTTTATTTCGCCTTTCATTACAAAACCAAAAAAAAAAAAAAGAATTGAGAATCAAAAGTCTACCATTCAGTAGAAAAATGCTTTCACATATAGAAATAAGAACAGGTCTGAAATGGATCTTCATTTAGGCCAGGGGTGGCTCAGATTCAGAATAAAAATGTGATAAATATAATATTATATAGCACCCAAAATAAAATCACAGTTTGTTGCTTTAAGAAGTTTTTTTTTTTAAGTCTAAAACCCTCTCACATATTCTACCATGGTAAAAAAAAAAATAAATAAAAACAAATGAAAGTTTACAATTGTGAACATTACATAAGAACCAATATTAAAGAAACACCTTCAGTATTCTTGAGTCAGTTTGAAGCAGCCAGTCAGAGCCAAGGAAAGGGCCGTGCAAAAAAAAAAAAATAAAAAAAAAAATGGATTACAGAAAAAGGAGAAAACATTAACAGCTTAGCTGTTGCTATATTTAACTACCGTAGATTTATACAAAATGTACATTAGAACAGTAAGTTTGACCCAAAACAATGTTAAAAAGCTAAGCAAAAAAGACTTCAAAATTTCCATAAAAGGAGTTAAACCTGGAACTGCTCTCTCTTTCTGTTTACCTCCATCATCAGAATTAAAGTTAAACCAGCGGATAGAATAAAGTTTTAATTTCTATATCTATGGCCTTCTCCCCAAGGTGATTTTGCAAACTATATTTGTATAAATAGAAAATCCTAACTGTAAATAAATATTGCTAGAGGATTGGTTGAATTGATTAACAGCAGTTAAGGCTTTAAACGTTGGTGCAATCAGACAAACATGTTGAGTCGATACGCAAAAAAAAAAAATAATAAAAATGTTGGGACTGTGTAACCAGACAGCATAGTGATAAGATGACTCTGGTGAGGAATAGTGAAGCAGACAACGGAAACAATTGTTCAAACGGTGATATAAACATTTGGTGCTTGTATTCTTGAAAGCACACTTTCAAAGAAATTTTAGATGCACTATAGACACATTAAAGTCATGGTGAGGGCAAAAATCACAGTGCTTTTCATTTATCAGGTTGACAAGAAACATTTTTATTTTAAAAATGTTCAATTCAAAACAGCAAAAACAAGCAAACAAAAAAAAAAATCCCCCCATCTACAAATATGACCACCGTCTTCTATTTAGACATGGCCAGAAGTTTTTCAGAAAATAGTGAACCTTAATGGGTACACATTTCATGCCTGTATCACCATTTGAAAAAATCTAATTAGATTTTCTAAAATCTTGTGCACAAAAAGACAGAAATAAGCAACAAGTTGCACACTGTTTTAAAAAAATAAAGCTTTTAAAGAAGTAACATTTGTCTTCACATCTATACACACCCCACCTTTGGCTGAGAATCACATCCTGTTGGAAATCAGAGCAATGTTACTTTACTTGCTAATTATTATGAATAGGGAAAAAAGGACCACATAACTGATGAGGCTATGCAAGTGTGTAATAAACCACTTTTATGGATGAGTCATTAAAAAAAAAACTGCAACATAATGTGTTTTGTGGTTATTTAAAACTCTTAAAAATGTTTAATATATATCTTTTGATTGATTAATTATCTAAAAGAAAACATTTTAATTGAATAAATTTAATTTTGCAAAATAAGAATTAGGAAAATCTAATATGCCAAACAGTTTTACATGTATGAGGAATTTTCTTTGGTGTTGAGGCGCTGCACCCAGGCATACTGTACATACAGTACAGTTCACACAAATACATTTGCAGCTAGGAAAGCACTTGGAGAGGGTAGACCCCCACCAAGCAGCAAATTCTACTATAAACTCTGATTCATTGGCATGAGGCACACCTCTGGTAAATGAAAAAAAGTGCATAAAATCCGTTCATAAGTTTTCAATTAATTCAGCTAACAAACCAACGTTTCCTTTTCTTGTGTTTTTGTCCTCAGTAAAATACTTCCAGAATTTCAATTTCAGAGTCCAATGCTGAGGCTCTCAATAATCACTGCTACTATGGAGTTGGAGAAAAATGGAGAATAAAAGACATCTGAAAGGGGAAACATTTTTTAAGTAAAATAAATATATTGGAGAGAACACTGATAGCAAAACCTGATGTTATTTGAGACTAAACAAAAAGTTTGGAGAGAAATTATTTTGTCATAGAATGGGTTAAAAAAAAGACATTTCAAAAATGATTTCCAATGAAAAAAGCTCCCTTAAAATTATATTTTACTCTCAAATATTGTTATTTGCAATCAGAGTGAAAAAAAGCATTTTCTCTGTGATACAGCTCAGGCTTATGCATAGAAGGATTTTGTACTTAAGAAAAAACTCACTTGCATAATACTTGTTCCAACAATGTAGTTTTTGTTTTCTAAAGTATTCAAAACATTAGCTATGTTGTGTTTTGTATATGTGTCTTAATTAATAAATAGCATAATTAACAAAATGAGATATTTTTGTCCTTTGCTGTGAACTATCAGACTTTAATGCTCTACGGCAAGTCTACCAATAAAAAAAAACATCCAGAAAGATGATACATGTTTAAAAAACGGAGGTGATTTCCTTCCCTCANAAAAAATTAACAGGATAAGAGAGTAAGGATAATTTCAACATTCAGCTGAAGATATAGTTCCTGTTTTTATAGCGTGGTTAAAGAGGGAAACTGCAGACACCAAGAGCATTAAAGGTTACATTTGTACATGATACAAAGGGCAATATCCATGGTCTAAATAAAACAACATTTAAATGCACCAACATAAAGCCTTTATCCCTGCTGTGAAGGTAGCCTTTAAAATAATTATAACTTAAAAGTTACCTTCTTTAACACCCAGTAGCAAAAAACGTAAACTAAAATGCTAAGTAATTTAGTCACACACTTCCTCAACTATTGAAGCATTTTGTTACAGCCTTGGTATTTGTATACAATGCCTCTGACAGGGAAGTGATACAATATTAAATGTAGTTAGTTCCCAAAGAGAAACTCTTATTAAAAAAAACACAACAAAAACAAACAGAACACCTTTATATCACTCCGAAATAAGGTAAGCATCAAAGCATATTCAGTGAAAATGTATCTTTACAAATAGATCCTCAAAAATAAAATCCTGTGAAGATCAGTTAATATTTTACTGTCTAGTTAGCTCACACGTACATCGTAAATTGAGAAAAAAAACTTGTGTTAATTGAATTTCTTTTCAATATTCAATAGTACAGTTTAGAAAAGCTCATCAATTTGTTTTTTTTCCTGCAGCTGTTCTTTGCCCCCCCAGTCTACTTGTTGATTAATGACTGATCAAGCATAACGTTTTGTGTTAAGTTGTAAAATCCCAGGAAAATAATCTAAGGTAAATAATTTGTGTATATGGATTTAAAAAAAACAAAAAAAACAAAGCAAAAACTGAGAATCTTCTGATTTCATGCACATGGATGGCCCTGGTCACCTCATGCCAGTTCCTCTAGGGTCTGTCACGATCATCATAGCGGTCATCATCAGAGCGAGGATCTCTGCGATCGTTGTAACGTCGCTCATCATAGCGGCGGTCGTCATCGTAGCGCTCATGGCGGTCACTGTGCTTGCTGCGTCGGTCGTCATAGTCGCTCCGGCGGTCGTCGTAGTCACTTCTGCGGTCGTTGTAGTCGCTTCTGCGGTCGTCGTAGTCGCTTCTGCGGTCGTCGTAGTCGCTGCGGCGATCATAGTTGCGCTCACTCCTCTCCTCATAGTCATCTTGTCGTTCAACTGGTTTGCTGACTCTGGAGTCTCGTGGGCTCCCCTTCCCATCAACGCTGCGACCCCCACCGTTTTCAACAACCTCCTTGTCTTCATCATTAACTCTGAAAAGTAGACAGTCAAACAGTGAGGAAGACAAAAATGTGAGCTTGGTAGAGATGGTTACATTTCCTAAACTAGAAAAAGAAGCATGTGTATGTATAATGTTTAAGTGATTATTGTAATGTGTTTTTGTAAAATAAAATCCTGAATGCCCTGAGGCGAGTGGGTAGCTATACATTGACATGTACAGACTTTTTGAAGGGCAGGAGTGGGAAGGAAAAAAAAGTCACATAGAGCAAGTCCTTACCACTGTTCTTTAGTTTAG